TATATATATATATAAGTTTTATTTATTTATTTATTTTTTTCATTTACAAATACCTTTAAATAATATTAGTTTTTTGGGAACTTTTATCTCGCATATCTTTCTGATAGATGCACATTGGAATGTGCCACGGTTATCCAGTCGAAAAAGAATATGCTTGAATATGTGCAGAGAATGTAATGTTTTGAAATTCATATTAAATTCATGTTCAGTTCAAATTTATATTCAGAATTCAGATTAAATTCACATTAAATTATTTTTTGAACCACTTAACTACATCTTTATATGTAATTTCATAAGTAATTCTATGGTTTTTGAAAAATGAAATATGAAGTATACTGGTTGACTTAAGTGTATGGAAATTTAAAATATACACTAAAAAATGCTGGGTTAAATATATTTTTTTATATTTGATTACATGATTACATGATTAATGTCATTTCTATTTAAACTTGTATATCATGTATTTAAATATGTGTAATTCCAATATTAGTTCCAATTTAGTGCATTTAAAATATGTTAACTCTAAAAGTAATAATGACAAAAAAATCAATGCTGGAAACTTTTGTGTTGCACCTGGTTAACACGCCACTAAGACTCACTAACAAGCTGTCAGACAGACTGACAAAGCAACAGAAAATGACTAGATAGAAAAAATTACTTTCTACACAAAACAAATTTGACAGAGCAGTTTGGAGACTTTCTGATTGATCCATCAGTCAGAAAAGATGAAATACCTGCAACACATTGTAGAAGTAAACTAAAGATTGATACAAACATTCTGAAAGACAGGCTGCTCGTGAACATACATATGCCTCCTGCTGCGCGGCCCTTCAATCAACAGTGGCCATTTTTCCAGAAAGCACAAACGCTAAGTGTATCCTGCCAATGAAGGTCAGCTATTAGTGGGGCGGTCCTGCGGAAACGCACCTACCTGCTGCTCTCGCACGGAGGGTCGGGCAGGCGGCGAGCGCCTGGAGAAACCAGACAATGGAGCCCAATCACCAACAACCACCATTCAAATCAAGGACTGATTGAAGTAGCATTGCAATTACCTTCCTGAGTAGAGCTTTGTTGTTTTTTTTTCCCCACTGTCCTCCACTCCACTCTTCTTCCTCCTCAGAGATCTCCTCCATTTGTTTAAAAGGGCACTGACAAGGACGCGGCCAGTCTCTTACAATAGAAGCGGGAGAGAGGGGTCAGAGAGGTGGATCACTGTGTTAGCAAGTTGACTTCCAGTCAAGTGAGACTGTGTTTGAGAGTGAAGGGGGACTTCTGGAGAAATGGAAAGAAAATTGGCATGAGATTTCAGACAGCTGGTTCTTTGTTTTCCGAGTTTTCCGAAGGTATTGAACAAGAAACATATCTAAACAAGCTCTCTACCCCTTCTCCCAGAAGCCCTCTCCTCATCAGTGTCCTTCTTCAAAATCTCATATTTCACCCCAAAGTCAAAATCAGAAAGACTATAAACCTCTTATTTTGGACCATTATGTTTATTACATTATTTTCATGACAGTTTAGCACATTCCCTTCAAAAATGATTACCATAAGGGGGAAAAAAAAGATATATTCTTTAAATTGTGAAATATTTATAAGTTTTCTAATGGTAGTTGACTTTTTTATTGGTCGGTTTTTGGTTAAATTTGATCGGAATGTTTGATTGAACATTTTAATTGCTTTTTGCCATGACTAGTTCCACAAACACTTGATTTATTATATTTGATGCTCCCATTTTAACATGATTTTTCAAAAAAATGATGTGTGAATGATCAAATAAATCTAAGTTGCTTTAGTACAATGTTGGCAATCTTGAAATAGTATTAACAATATAAAATGTACTCTTACGTTTACTAACAATCAGTAAAGATTTTACAGGAAAAAGACAAGCGAACCGCAACCACGTGGAGGAGAGTTTTTCAATTATACTAAAAACCCTTTTACTTGCTAAAAGTATAAACTTTCAATCAGACAACTGAAGGCATGTAGTAGATTGTGTATGACAAGTTTAACAGCAAAGCTATGAACATGTTGATAATTCCGAAGCCTTTTTGAGTATTTTCCTATTGAGAAATTCAATTATCAAATGTGATACAGTAGACTTTATAGGGTTAAATGTAAAAATAATCAGAATCATATTGGCCTGTCTCTAAACAATATTAATTTCCATATGTACCACCCTGGACAATTCCCTCACTGACCATCTCCGTCCGAAACCTGAAGTATGTTTGTCAAATATGATCTGATTGGCTATGATTGTATAACATGAAACAGCATTGTTGCTTTTGGTGTGACAAAAATAAACACCGGTATTCGGTATGAACCGGTATACTGCCCAGCACTATGTGGACAGACACCAAAAGCAACAATAACAATTTTATAGTATGATGCAAAGTTGCGTAACTGTACACTGTAAATGTGATTCAGGCCTCACCATGTCTTCCAGGACTCTGGTGCTGGTGTTTCAGTGTGCCGAGCGTCATGTGATCTGCCTGGAGTGCTTCCACCTGTACTGTGTGACCAGACTCAATGAGCGACAGTTTACCCAGGAGCCGCTGGTGGGCTACTCTCTGCCCTGTGCAGGTAAACATATCTTAAGAGTTCACCAATGTGAATGGCTATTAGTGTCTGTGTATGTGTGTGTGTGTGTGTTTGTGCGTGCCTCTGTATTTGGTGTGTTTGTGTGCACTGTGTTTGGCAGTGATTGATGGTGGTGTGTTGGTGGCTGCAGTGAAGAGGAGATACTATCAAATTGTTCTCCTTCACTCTCACACACACAGTCACACACACGCATACTCTCTCCGGGCCCTCACTGTGCCCACATTGGCCCACCACATCCGTTAATGCCACCTGGTAATGGGGCTCCGGGGAGAAGCATTGACCCCCTATCAGCCAGAACACCCCACCGATCTCTCACGCGCTGTATCTCTCTGTATCTACCGCTGTCTTGCCCTTGCACTCCCTCATTTGTTTTGCTGCCATTCTCCACCTTTCATTTTCTCTTTCACTGATATTTTTTGTCTCATTTTGTTCTCTCAGTGCTTACAGTTTTGCTTTGGCTGCAGCCGGTAAAGACAGTCAAACAAAACTGAAACTAAATTTAATAATCCACCTAATAATTCCAGTTACTTGTGATTTAATTATTTTTTATTATTATTATTATTATTATTATTATTATTAGAATCATTAATTCCAATACTTTTTTTCTAACATTATACTAAGCAAAAATACTAAACAATACTTTTTAGTAACATATTTTAGTGCTTCTTATTTTTTGTTATTTTTTTATTTATTTATTTTTTTTTTTGGAGATGGAGAAATTAGTTTTTATTTGTAAAATAAATATTTGAATAAGAAAATGTTTTTATAATACATTGAAACTTACATTAAGTTTTTTTATTTGTTGGTAAGTTAACTGAAGGATTAATCAACTAATCAGGTAATAGGTGATAGAATAATTGTTTAAAAATCCATAGATTAAATGACTGATTGAAGAAATAATTAATAGATTAAAAAAAAAGCAGCACAACTATTTTCAACACTGATGATGATGATGATGATGATAATAATAATAATAATAATAATAATGATGATTTCAACATTGAGCATAAGACATATTTCATGAGCACCAAATCTGCATATTAGAATGATTTCTGAAGGATCATGTGACTGAAGTAATGATGCTGAAAATTCAGCTTTGCATCACAAAAATAAATTACATTGTATAATATATTAAAATGGAAAACAGTTATTTTAAATTGTAATAGTATTTCACAATTAATTTACAGTTTTACTGTATCAAATAAATACAGTCTAGGTAAACAGACAGATAGATAGATACACACAGACACACACACACAGGCACACACATATATACAGTATATATATATATAT